AAAGTATTTAACATCTACTTACCACCGTGATGACGATGAAAGAGAGACATGAACTTTAAATATACAGCAGCTGTCGTTAAGGTCGGAATCGACCCCACGACCTATTTTATAACACGCGAGGTAGTTAACTTCTTCTAGGCACCGTGATGATGAGGAGAGAGAGAGACACGCAAACTCAAAATATACAGCAGGCATCGTCGGGGTCGATATCGACCCCACGACCTCGTGTACACCAGGCGAGGTAGTCAAAATCTCTTAGACACTGTGGCGCCCCCAAAGTTACCGTGGACGGTGGCGCAGTGAGAAGGGGGTTGAAGGAGCCAAAGGGGATACGGGGCACGGGCGAACAGCCCGTGGTCAAACTATGCAGTCCAAGGAAAAGGCACGGAACCTTGTGGAGCTCATGGTTAATCCCATGGTTATTGGAAGCGACCCGTGGTAAGTTCATTGTAAATCGATGAGCCCCATGGTAAATTCACTTTGCTCGTGATAAAACCATGGTTACGCCTTGGAGCCCATGGTAACCATGGTCAATTACGAGAGTGCATGTTAAAACCATGCTGAATCTCGGTGACTCATGGTAAAGTCATAGGGTTCGTGGTAATTCCATTGTAAAACAAATATATTGCGTGGAATATCCATGACCAAGAGCATGGTAAACCCATGGTAAAATATCGAGGAAGCCCCCCTCCCCCCCGCCTAACCAACTCCCCCCTTGCAAGGAAAGTGAATCCGCGCAGCCACTCGGGACCGCATTCTTTCCAGCTCCGCTGAGCTCACGTCTCGTTCTGCGGGGTCAGCAGAAATCCGCGGAAGTTCCCTCGTCTAGAAAGCCGCGTCCGTTTCTCTTGAGTGTCCGTGGAGTGAGCGGTCCCAGAGTCTCGCTGCGTCGGATGGGGTTTGGGGGGCTGCCCAGGATTTCTTCGATTGGTTGGCTGAGACGGGGCGCCACGTGCATGCGTTTGTGTTTTGTCGATGTGTTCGTCAATGTTTCCATCATCAGCTCCATCCTCATCATCAGCTCCATCATCATCAGATCCATGATTACCATCATTACCACTATCATCATCAGCTTCATCATCAGCTGTATCATTATCTCCATCACCATCATTACCACTATCACCATCAGCTCCATCATCATCATTGCCATCAACAGCTCCATCATCATCAGCTCTATTACCATAATTACCACTATCATCATCAGCTCCATCATTACCATCATTACCACTATCATCATCAACACCATCATCATCATCTCCATCATCGGCAGCTCCATTCCCATAATTACCACTATCATCAACTTCATCATCAGCTGCATCAACTTTACCACCATCATCATCAACTCCGTCATCGTTACCTCCATCATCAGCTCCATCATCATCATTACAACTATCATAATCAGCTGCATCATTACCACCATCATTAGCTCTATTATCAGCTCCATCATCATCAGCTCCATAATTATCAGCTCCATAATCATCATCAGCTCCATCATTACCATCATATCACCCATCTCTATCACCATTTAATAACTCTTTAGAATCATAATATCCGGTATCTCCATCATTTATATGGCATCGTCACCATCATACTCCCCATCATCTTTCTCGTACCCACATCACCCTCTCCTGAGAATCATCATCATCATCTCTATCATCACCTTCACCAACACCGCTGTCACTACCATCATCTGTATTGCTACCATCACCACCACCATCACCTCTATCGCCATTAACACCACCACCATCAACATCATTTGTGATTGCCACCACCACCATCATCATCGCCTTCATCATCGTCTTCACGTTGCCCCTGTGGCGTCTCCGTGCGCAATGAGTCCGCACGGTCATCGAGCTCAAGTTCAATCCAAGGCCGGGCTCCGCTCCAGAGTCCGCTAATAGGAGGTTGCGGGGTGATGGTGGTCGTGGTGATGGTGAAGTGATGGTGGATGTCATGGTGGTGATGGTGGTGATGGTGGTGATGGTGGTGATGGTGGAGGTGGTGGTGGTGGTGATGATGGTGGTGATGGTGGAGGTTGTGATGAAAGTGGTGGAGGTGATGGTGGTGGTTGTAATGGTAGTGATGGCTGATGGTGGTTTCTATAGTGGTGGTGGATCTGATGGTTGTGGTGGTACTGCTGATGGTGAATGTGATAGTGGTGGTGCTGGTGGTTTGTGATTGTTGTTTTTGCTTTTGCTTCTGGCACTCGTGATGATGACTGTGATGATGATTATGATGATGATGATTGCGATGATGATGATTGTGATGATGATGTTGAACAAGTCCGTGATGATGACAGTGAATGTGTTGGTGCAGCAGGAGGTGGTTGTTGTGGTGGTGGTCGTCGTGGCGATGATGCTTCTGCTCCTGCTGCCCTGATGTCGTTAGCAGGCCGGGAGAAGTTTCAATCTCCCGTGCACCGCGGGCATCCACACGGGAGGCGCCCGGGGTGCCATAGTTTGCGGGAACGGAGGCGAGGGGGGGGGTCGACCAGACGAGGTAAAAGAAGATGAAGATTGAGGTGCTTCACGTGAGGTGAATGAAAGACATTGAGGTTAAGGGACGATGATGTGCAGCAGATGAGGTGGGAGATGATGAGGGGAGGTGATGAGGGGGAAGAGGAGTAACCCCTACCTCCTGTCACGGGATGACGATGAGGAGTTGGGCGCGAGGGTTCCCAGTCCCCCTTCCTCGGCGAGTCGGAGACGCTGGGAGACGCGGAGAGGGACGAAGCTGTCTCTGCAGCAGCAGAAGCAGAAGCCCCCCTCTCCCCTCTCTCTCCTCTCTCTCCCCTCTCTCTCTGCTCTCTCTCTCTCCACTCTCTCTCTCCTGTCTCTCCCCCCGCTCTCTCTCCGCTCTCCCAAGCCGAGCGGAGAGAAACTTGGGATGGGAGCGGCGTCTCGCATGGGGAGCGGAGGCGGAGCCATTCCAGGCCAGCCGATCCTGAGTGAGGGTGTGTGTGGGAGGGTGTGTGTGTGAGGGTGTGTGTGGGAGGGTGTGTGTGGGAGGGTGTGTGTGGGAAGGTGTGTGTGTGGGAGGGTGTGTGTGGGAGGGTGTGTGTGGGCGGGTGTGTGTGGGAGGGTGTGTGTGGGAGGGTGTGTGTGGGAAGGTGCGTGTGTGTGAGGGTGTGTGTGTGAGGGTGCGTGTGTGAGGGTGCGTGTGGGAGGGTGCGTGTGTTGAGCGTGCGTGTGTTGAGCGTGTCTGTAGGAGGGTGTGTGAGGGTGAGGGTGCGTGTTGAGCGTGTGTGTGTTGAGCGTGTCTGTAGGAGGGTGTGTGAGGGTGTGTGAGGGTGTGTAAGGGTGATGGAGCGGTAGTGTAGTGGTTAGCGCACTGCGCTACAAAGTCAGCGATCCGAGTTCGATCCCCACTCACGACAAATAAGTGGCAATTGTTTAAACCGGTCCTTAGCCTCCCCTAGGTCGACTCAGCCTCAAATTAGTACCTGGTGCGATGTATAAACGGCAGGTCGTGGTGCTGGCCACCCACCCCCTCGTGTGCTGTGCCAGCCCTTATACTCGCTCGCTAACAGCACTTGCCCCTACAGTCTGTTCAGGCTATACGGGGGGTCTTTGCCTTTGTGTGTGTGTGGACTCCCCTAATGGAACATCTTGGCCGGTTAGAAACATTTAAGCTGGCCTGCCTACGATCCATCCTTGAAAGATCTGGACAAAGTCCCATGGTGTGAGCTCCTCCGGCAGGCAAGGTATGCATTGGCTGGGTCATGTCGCCCGCATGCCGAGCCACCGCATGCCGAAACAGCTTTTGTTCGGCCTGATCGAGGGGGCTAAACGGGCGCGGCACGGGCTAGAGAAGAGATGGAGTGATGTGGTACAGGAGGACGTGGAACTGAGTGGACTTGCCGGTGACCGGTACCAGCGGTGTCAAGATCGGCCTCTGTGGAGGAGGCTCGTGAAGGACGCTACTGGGCAGTTGGAGGCAGTCGCCCTCCAACAACAACGGAGGGCGGAGGAGCGACGCACAGCAAGTTGGCACAGGTGGTGTATCAGCCAGTAACCGCAGTCAGTCGACCGTGGCACCTGGGTCTGCCCCGTGACCTCCTGCCAGCGGGCGTTCGAGACTTCACATGGCCTCAAGGTGCACATAGCCTGGCACAAGCGTCGTGGTGACGTCACCTCGGTGAAATGCTCACGGCCAACATCAGTGGCGAATATCTGAAGCAGTCCTGTTGCCTCCACTAGGTGACCCGGCCTTTAATGAGTACCCAGGAGCGAAAATAATCAGCGTGGTGTTTGCCAACCATCAAACCACCCCCTCGTGAGCCGTTCCGGCCTTCAAAAGTGGTGCTCTCCAACAGCACCTGCCTCAATATCCTGTCAAGGCTACACGGGGGAATCTTTGTCTTTGTGCGCCTGAATGGGTGCAGCCTCTACCGAGTCGAGAAGACACCCAGTGGGCTGGGACGTGAGCCGCGAAGGGACATCACCGCTCACACAGGGGCGATGGTGGCAGCTGATGTTCGTGTTGAAGGCACACTCTGTAGGAGGGAGTGAGATGGAACAGATGGAGATTAGTCCACAAACTCCGCTGTAGGAGGGAGAGAGATGAGGCAGATGGAGATTAGTCCACACACTCCGCTGTAGGAGGGAGTGAGATGGAACAGACAGAGATTAGTCCACAAACTCCGCTGTAGGAGGGAGAGAGATGGGACAGAAGGAGATTAGTCCACACACTCCGCTGTAGGAGGGAGTGAGATGGAACAGATGGAGATTAGTCCACACACTCTGCTGGAGGAAGGAGTGAGATGGGACAGATGGAGATTAGTCCACACACTCCGTGCCTCCTCGATGCCCACTCAGGGGAAGGGAGTTTCACAACAACCCATCCGTGCGTGATCCACTAACCCTCGCTTCTGCTGCCTCCACAGCGCTGGATTCCAGGCCGCCCAACGAGGCGGTGATGGCAATGAGGATGATGGTGATGGTTATGATGGTGGTGGTTGTGATGGTGGTGGTTGTGATGTTTGTGATGGTGATGGTTGTGATGGTGGTGGTTGTGATGGTGGTGGTTGTGATGGTGATGGATGTGATGGTGGTGGTTGTGATGGTGATGGTTGTGATAGTGATGGTTGTGATGGTGGTGGTTGTGATGGTTGTGATGGTGATGATGGTGGTGGTTGTGATGGTGATGGTTGTCATGGTGGTGGTTGTGATGGCAATGAGGATGATGGTGATGGTTGTGATGATGGTTGTGATGGTGGTGGTTGTGATGGCAATGAGGATGATGGTGATGGTTGTGATGGTGATGGTTGTGATGGTGGTGGTTGTGATGGTTGTGATGGTTGTGATGATAATGGTTGTGATGGTGGTGTTGTGATGGTTGTGATGGTGATGGTTGTGATGGTGATGGTTGTGATGGTGGTGGTTGTGATGGTGGTGGTTATGATGGTGATGGTTGTGATGGTGGTGGTTGTGATGGCAATGAGGATGATGGTGATGGTTGTGATGGTGATGGTTGTGATGGTGGTGGTTGTGATGGTTGTGATGGTTGTGATGATAATGGTGGTGTTGTGATGGTTGTGATGGTGATGGTTGTGATGGTGATGGTTGTGATGGTGGTGGTTGTGATGGTGGTGGTTGTGATGGTGATGGTTGCGATGGTGATGGTTGTGATGGTGGTGGTTGTGATGTGGTGTTTGTGATGTGATGGTTGTGATGGCGGTGGTTGTGATGGTGATGATTGTGATGGTGGTGGTTATGATGTTGTGATGGTGATGGTTGTGATGGTGGTGGCTGTGATGGTGATGGTTGTGATGGCAATGAGGATGATGGTGATGGTTGTGATGGTGGTGGTTGTGATGGTGGTGGTTGTGATGGGTGTGATGGTAATGGTTGTGATGGTGGTGTCGTGATGGTTGTGATGGTGGTGGTTGTGATGGTGATGGTTGTGATGGTGGTGGTTGTGATGGTGATGGTTGTGATGGTGGTGGTTGTGATGGCAATGAGGATGATGGTGATGGTTGTGATGGTGGTGGTTCTGATAGTTGTGATGGTGATGGTTGTGATGGTGATGGTTGTGATGGTGGTGTTGTGATGGTTGTGATGGTTCTGGTTGTGATGGTAATGGTTGTGATGGTGGTGTTGTGATGGTTGTGATGGTTGTGATGGTGGTGGTTGTGATGGTGGTGGTTGTGATGGCAATGAGGATGATGGTGATAGTTGTGATGGTGATGGTTGTGATGGGGGTGGTTGTGATGGTTGTGATGGTGATGGTTGTGATGGTGGTGGTTGTGATGTGGTGGTTGTGATGTTGTGATGGTTGTGATGGTGGTGGTTGTGATGGTTGTGATGGTGGTGGTTGTGATGATGGTTGTGATGGTGGTGGTTGTGATGGTGATGGTTGTGATAGATGTGATGGTTGTGATGGTGGTGGTTGTGATGGTTGTGATGGTGATGGTTGTGATGGTGGTGGTTGTGATGGTGATGGTTGTGATGGTGGTGGTTGTGATGGTTGTGATGGTGATGGTTGTGATGGTGGTGGTTGTGATGGTGATGGTTGTGATGGTGGTGGTTGTGATGGTTGTGATGGTTGTGATGGTGGTGGTTGTGATGATGGTTGTGATGGTGGTGGTTGTGATGGTTGTGATTGTGATGGTTGTGATAGATGTGATGGTTGTGATGGTGGTGGTTGTGATGGTTGTGATGGTTGTGATGGTGGTGGTTGTGATGGTGATGGTTGTGATGGTGGTGGTTGTGATGGTGATGGTTGTGATGGTGATGGTTGTGATGGTGGTGGTTGTGATGGTGATGGTTGTGATGGTGGTGGTTGTGATGGTTGTGATGGTTGTGGTGGTGATGGTTGTGATGGTGGTGGCGATGCTGTCGGCGAGCGGTGGCCCAGCGGTGAGCTCGCTACGCTTCGAACCAGGTGAACCGAGTTGGATTCCCTGATCACGGCCACCAACACCACCGGTGACGATTATCTGAACCGACCCTAGGCCTCCGCTAGGTTGACAGACTCAAATGAGTACCTGGTGCGGTGTGTAGCAAACATCGCCATTGGGGAGACAAAGTCGGCCGGCCGTGGTGCTGGCCACCCACCCCCTCGTGTGCTGTGCCGGTCTTCATAGGTGCTGCTCGCTAACAGCACTTGCCCCTTCAGTCTGTCAAGGCTACACGGGGGATCTTTGTCTTTGGTGGTGACGGTGTGAGTGATGATGACGGTGATGGCGATGTAAAATCGAGACACCGTGCACACGATGCCGCGTGATGAGTGGGGGGAGGAGGGTGGGGGTGGAGGGGAAGGATGGGGGTGGGCTTGTGGAGGAGGAGGACGGTGGGGGAAGGAGGGGCTCGCGGAGGAGGAGGGGGGGTGGAGGGAGGGGGGAAGGTGTAGGGAGGGGGGGGAAATCGCGGAGGAGGAGGGACGTGGAGGGGGGTTCGTGGAAGAAGAGTAAGTTTGGGGGGATCGGCTCGCGGAGGAGTAAGAGGGGGAGTTAGGGGGAGGGGGTAAGGTGGAGGGGGGCTCGCGGAGGAGGCAGGTAGGAGGGGGTGGGGGCTCGTGGAGGAGGAGGGTGGAGGGGGTGGAGGGGGGCTAGGTTGGAGGCTCGGGCGGTGCGGGTGGAGTGGAAATTGCTCCGCGTCCCGCGCCAACAAACCCCGGCACCCGTCCAGAACGCGCCCCATCGCAGTGACCCCCCCCCCCCCGTGAATGTCTCTCTCGGTACGGTAGATGTCCGCCTCTCGTGGAGCTGTGCGCCTGTGTTTAGTGTGCCGTGTGTGTGTGTCGCGTGTGTGTAGTGTAGCGTGTAGTGTAGTGTGTAATGTAGTGTGTGTAGTGTAGCACGTGTGTAGCGTAGCGTGTGTGTAGTGTGTGTAGTGTAGTGTGTGTGTAGTGTGTGTAGTGTAGCGTGTGTGTAGTGTAGCGTGGTGTGTAGTGTGTGTAGTGTAGCACGTGTGTAGCGTAGCGTGTGTGTAGTGTGT